AGAGATCTCCTTGATCTCCTCCTCTGAGTGCCTCTCGGTCTTCAGAGAGTGTAGAAGGAAAATGAGAGAGCAAAGAAGAAAAGAAGAGAGAAGTGAAAGTGTGCTTTCGGGAGTGGCAGAGTGCTCTATTTATAGGATCAAATGTCTTCGGAATGGCCCGTTCCAAATTCGGAACGGGCTGTTCTGGACCCTTAAATCACGAGTAAAAATGACATCCAGAACGGCCCGTTTTGGGGTGTATTTAATACTCACAACGGTCATATTTTGGAACGGCCCGTTCTCAACTCTGGAACGGCCCGTTCTCAATTAGGTTAAAAGGCCATTTCTAAAAACCGGAACGATCCGTTCCCAACTAAAAATCATAGGCAAATTTAATGGTTTAGAACGGCCCGTTCCGGGCTACTAAACCACCTTAATTGGGCTCTTGGCCCAGTGAAAATTGGATTGTTACAAATAAGATGTTATAAAAAGAAATTAGAAATTAGAAATACTCATTACAAAAGCAACAAAATTAAGGTAGGAGATAAGTATCTATGTAATTAAAAGAAATTAGAAATGTGTTTGAGAAAGTGGTAAAAATTAAATTTTTTAAATAATTGATTATATGCTGGAGAGATAGATCATGGTTGTTGTGGGGCAAATATTTTTTTTTAATGTTAGTTATATATATATATAATAATAATAATAATAATAATAATAATAATAAAATATATCATTTTTCATGTTAAAAATTAATTAATTTTTTTTTTGCTTTTATGTTTAAAAAAAAAGAAGTCATAATAAATATATTATTTTTAAAAGACATTTGAATATAACTTGTTAACTTACATTTTCTTAAAAAACAAGTGTGTATAAGTTATCAAACATTTGCGAAATTGCTAAGATACACTTATTACATTTTTAGAAGGAGTATATTAACAAGTTAAAACTATAGTAATTTTTAAAATGCACTTAAATATAACTTGCTAATTTTCTTCTTCTGAAAAAACAAGTGGATGTAAATTAGCAAATTCATATATATCTCTGTGTGTGTATGTGTAGATATCAATTATATTGTTATAATAATATAGATATCAATTATATTAAATAGTAGTATTAAAAAAATATTACTATAATTACACACATATAATATTGATTATATAATATTTATATTTATTTGATAATATAGATATTGTATTTGCTTTTATTTGATAATATAGATATTGTATTTGCTTTCGTTGTATGTAATAAGTTCTTAATACATCTTTTATTAATAACTTTTATAATTTATATTTTTATTTGAATTTTAGACCTAGTAGTGTTGATAATTTGTAAATTAATATTATTAGTATAATTAATTATTAATTAATCAAACATAAATGTAGCATTTATTAGTATTAATTTTTGATATATTTGTTTGGTTTTAATAATTTTCAATATTAGATTATTTTATAACAACATTTATATATAAAAAAAATTTGGAGGAAGAAATATATTACAAAAGTTGTTCCCTTTATGTTATTTATTTATAAATAGTAAGATATATTTATAAATAACTTTCTATTATATCTTTTTTCATGTATAATACGATAGTTTCATAAAGAATATTTAATTTACAAAAACATTTTTTATAATGTATAAAAATTAATAAAATATTTTTTCTAATTTTTTTTATTTTTATTTTTTATTAACATTAATTCCCATAATGCTAGAAATGATTTTTTTTATAATAATAAATACATTATTTGAATTCATAAATGGAAATATTTTAAATTTTTTATTATATGAATTCAAGATGATTTGATACTTCATTATTGTAAAAAAAAATTGACGTAATATATATGTGATACCCTTACTACCCCAACACATATATTGTAATAATGAAAACTTACAAATAAATTTTTCAATTTCGGTAAAAGGGTTCGCATGAGAATCTTCAAAATTATTCTTCAATAACCACAATAATAAAAAATAAAACACAAGAGTTTACAAATTGTTTTAAAAAATAATATTTACAATTCCAAATCCATATAAAAATCTATGTCCTAAAAATCCTCTGCCTCGATGTCACAATATTAGAGCATGCCCACAATTCAACCGTTGGTATTCTAGATACCACTCGTAGCCGGATTTTCCTCACCTAAAACATCCACAATTTATACGGTGAGAAAAGAAAATATCTATATGCAAAGCACATACAAACACACCACAATGTAATCTCATCATAACTCATTACTTAATAAAATATTTACAAGCATTTATATATATATCATAATTTATCAATCATTCATCATTTTCACATCTCAATTCACAATTACATCAATCCATCACAATCCACATAAATCTTACAATTAACATTATGCCAAGGCCACGCCACATCTGACACAAGTGATACAGGTTAATTGTCTCGCTCATCCCACACCATGCCAGAGGCACGCTCGTCCTCGTAGCATCACTTACCCAAGGTTCGTCTCATCCCTGGTCATTAGTGTGAGGAACCACGGTCACATTACAATCCACACAAGTCTTGCAATTAACCCTATGTCAGGGCTGCCATATTTGACATAAGTGATGCATGTTAATTGCCTCACTCATCCCACACTATGCCAGGGGCAGGCTCGTCCTTGAAGCATCACTACTCAAGGTTCGTCTTATCCCTGGTCATTAGTGTGAGGAACCACAATTCACATCTAGATCATCAATTCTTATCAATTAACATAACAATAACATTCATAAATTAATATAATAATAAATGGAATTATTAATTTAATATAATTTAACATAAACAGTAAAATCTCCAATTATTCCAAAACCTAGCTCACAGGCACTTTTCTACAATTTCATTCTCTCTCCCAAATCATCATTCTTACAAATTAAATATATATTTCTAATTCTCAACATACACTGAATCTAATGGTATCATTAATTCCTCAAACAAAAATAATCTAATTTTTCCAAAACCTAACTTACAGGCACTTTTCTATAATTTCGTTCTCTCTCCCAGAGCATCATTTTTACAAATAAACCATATATTCGTAATTCTAAATATATACAGAATCACATAAGACCGATAATTCTCCAAACAGAAATAATTATAAAATTACTCATAATCCTAAGGGACTCTTCATCTACCCAATTCCCTCATGTAACTCTACATATAAATAATCCCCTTTTCCCGGTACCTGGATATGTAGAAGCTGAACCTACACAAGATCTGTTTGATCTCCCTCGCTGGATTCCCCTTGGTCTGAAGCATAAAATAGAGGGAAAGAAGAGAGAGCAGAAGAAAAGAAATCAGAAAATGAGAGGTGTTCCTTTTTGGGAGTGGTAGAGAGCTTAATTTATAGGCATCAGGCTTCGCCAAAACAACCCGTTCCAAATTTGGAACGGCCCGTTCTGGACCCTTAAATCATGGGTAAAAATCACATCCAGAACGGCCCGTTCTGGTGTATTTATTACTCACTAACGGCCATATTTTGGGAATGCCCTGTTCCAAGCCCGTTCCCATTAAGGGTTATAGGCAGTTTTTAATAGTTAGGAACGGCCCGTTCTAGGCTACTAACTCACATACATTTTGGTAGTTTGGAACGGTCTGTTCCAATTTCAGAATAGTCCGTTCCAAGCTACTAAATCACCCCTATACATTTATAAAAATTACCAAAATGCCCTTAATAAAATAAAATAAAAATGAAATAAAAACAGGGGTGTTACAATATACATTCAAATAAAATATGAGCACTTTGATTACTTTTAAGTTGTTGTTCAATTTTAACAAAAATTGAATTAAACATATAAAGTGATATGAACTTTCAATCTAATGGTTGGATTTACAAAATTCACATTTAATATAAAGTTATTGAGCGGTGTAATACGTAGTAAAAGTTATATCGGTGTTATTATAACCCTTCTCATTTTAAATATATAAATTATTACTTAAACTTTTAAATTTATAATAAATAATTTAAATTGTACCATAAAATTAATTTTAAATAGAAATAAGTAGATTGTTAATTATAAAAGTAAGTATATATATAAATAAAGATTAATTAAATATAATATAATTATTATTTATATTATTATATAATATTATATAATAAATACATTATTTTAATTCATAAATAAAAACGTTTTAAATATTTTATTATAGTTAGTTAATACCATTCTAATAATAATAAAAAGTATGAAAAAGCATATGCATTCCGTGGTGACAAAGTAATTGTGATATTCTTATTCTAGATGGTGGCATTAGTTTTAAGTAAGGAATTACTTTTGGAAATTGTTAGAATCAAAGAAAGGAATTACTTAAATTTAAGTAAGGAATTACTTTTGGAAATTGGAAGAATGAAAGAAAGGAATTACTTAAAGTTGATGTGCATTGAGAGAATAAAAAATTGAAGCATTGTTTCTAAGTTATAAATATTTCGACTTCACGGATATGAAATTATATTTCTTGGAGAGTCTGAAGCAGCTAAATTTAGCTGAAGACTATCAAAGGGACAATTAGAAGGAGCGTCGTGCAGGTACACTACCATAATCCATTTCATTTTGAATTATACAAATCTATACACATCATAAAAGCATATATATAGTTACTTATTTAGTTTCTATAAAACATACCATTTTTTGTCTCTAATTTGCTTTTGCATCTACAAAATCCAGTAGTAAGATCAGAATTAGTTAATTGAATTATAAAGTTAAGAAATGATGACAAAAGCCTGAACAAACAAGATGGATTAAGGTTTCATTAAAAATTTAATAGTAATTGAAATTAATGATTCATGTTGAAAATTTTATAGTACTGGAGTTGTATAAACTGAATTGATAAAAAAAAGTTGCTTCGATTAACATGAAAGGTGGTAATCATATTTATTAAAAATTATTTTCTTATTTTTTTAATATTTTATTTAATTAAAAAAAGAGTTAAATAAAATTTTTAGGTGATAAAAATATTAATTACTACTATAATAATAAAGAAAATCTTGGTTATCTATGAATAAGATTCACAGTTGCATTATATTTGAATTAGTTTATATTATTTTTGACTACTATATGTATTGTTTTTGAGTCCTTGTAATAAAAACAGTTGAGTTGAGGTTTGATATATAAAAGCACATAAAGAGGAGTTTCTTCCATAAAAGCACATACCAACGACAAACTATATTCATATATATTTGCGGCTATGCCTATATCACTCGCAGACGTTTTGAAGAAACTCTGTGACACTACTGGCTTCAGTTGGTGGAAGGCGGACAACATATGGGTATTTATCACTTTTTCTTCATACTATCACTACTCATTTTCTTTTTCCTACTATTGTAATACAACATATTTTACTTTAAAAATCAAATGACAATGTTTTATTATAGTCACCAAATTAATGATTCTTAAATCTAGCACAAATTCAGAGTATGTTTCAGAGAGAGAGAGATTTTTATTTTAGTAAATATTTTTAATTTAATAATTTTAAAATAAAATATAAATAATAGATTAATTATTTGAGAATATTAAGTTTGTGAACAGTGTTAACAATACATTCTCTAACATACTCTTCTTAATATCATTTCTCATTGAATATATTTTATTGAAAACCAAAAACTTAAGAAAGAGGGTCATTATATAGAATGAAAGACCCACCAATTTTTATGTTTTTCATCGGTGTTAGTATTCTTTTAAATTTATTATATTGTAAGTTGACAACATTAAGTTTATATGACAATATAAACTTTACGCCCTTAATTAATTCTTATTATTTGTTTACATCCTAACAACCTTAAGAAAAATTGGCTTATCATGAAGAATTGCCTTGGATTATACAGTACAGATCTTATGATCTTAAACAAGTCAAAGATGCCACAATAAGAATGGAATTTCCATAAACAAATACAGTGCATTGTAAAGACTTGCCCAATCTAAGGAGTTTTTCCTCAGGAGACATTATTGAATGGCCATACTTGGAGAATCTTATTTTGAACCACTGCCCTAACTTAAAGAAGTTTGGATTCGAAAAGATAAAAGAGTCACGATTAAAATCATTCATCATGGAAAATCAAGTGCAACATAACATTGATACAAAAGTTATCTATTTTTTTGAATCATGGGTTTAGTTCTCTATCAAAACACTATTTGCCATAATAGACTAAAAACATTAAGCTTGTTTACGGTTATGCTTTTGCCTTCTTTAATTGTTATTAACTACGATTTTCAAATCTAAACTTTTTTAATTAATTAAGTCCATCTACTTTTTAGATTGATCGAGTGACTTTTGATTCTTTTATAAATATTGTTCTATTATGAGTCTTTAAATTCTCATTTCCTACTGAAATACGTTATAAAAATTTAATATTATTAATTTTTTTAAATCTTTTTCTACTCAAAACTCGTTAACCAAAACATTAAATTTCAACCAAAATTGCAAAGTATAAAAAAATTTATTTGTCAAATTAAATCTTATTTGACAACTTTCAAAAAATTCTTCAAATTTTCCTAAATTTAATTCTTGAATTTTTTAATCTTAAACTACATATAAATTTCAAATATGTACATAAAGAATATTTGATAAAAAAATGTGCATTTAAATTTAAAATGTGGGAGGCTTAATTATGAAAAATAGGTTACCTTACTTCTTTCAAGGTATTGGATATATATTTAGTGAGTCTTTTACTCTATGTTTGAATAATTGCCAATCCAGTTGCACAAAATGGTAACAAGAGTAGAAAAATTTACAGGATGATGAATTATCAACAATTATTGAGTATGAAATTGGTGTCAATGAGGAATTAGGCAAGATATTGGATAATCTTCGTCCATCGCATTTCACCAACTTGTTACAATTCCAGGCAAAAAATGTCGATGAAAAGCTGATTAGATTTCTTGATGTTTTGACGAAGAGGTCAAATAAACTTGAAGTTATCAACATTCAACAATGCAAAACAATAGAATATTTGTTTGACCTTCCTCTTGCTCTTATCCCTGATGAAGATGGACATGGTATATATTTCACACAGATGAGAGAATTAAAATTAATAGAACTATATAATCTAGAATTCGTATGGCGTGGGAATCCAGTAGGAATTTTTGGCCTCGAAAATCTCCAATTGATACACATCAAACGTTGCCCCTCTCTAAGACTTCTATTCTATTATGATGTAACAGAGAAGCTCCACCAACTAAATGAATTAAAGTTAGAGGCATGCGAGTCGTTAAAAGATTTAATTTATTCTTCTAGTGAAAAGAGACCAACAACAAAGTTCCCATCACTAACCAAGGTAGAGTTGAAGTCTCTCTCAAGATTGGAATGGTTCTACATTTATAGAGTAGAATTTCCAAGTCTAAAATCCTTGACAATAGAAAAATGTCCAAAAATGACATCATTCACAAATGGATTTGCAACTAAAGATGAATCATCCACAATTATTGATGGGAAGTCTTTCTTTGAGCTAAATGAACTCACATTACGTAGTTGTGACAAGTTGATTCTTGTTGTGTCATCTAAGACTTTACAAGAGTTAAGAAAATTGAAGAAACTCATTGTGAGTGATTGTATGAAATTGAAAATGTTATTCAACATTGATGGAAAAATATCTCATTCAACTGAACTCCTACAACATTTAGATGAATTGATCTTGAATGATCTACCTAATTTAACCCAAGTTAGAGAAGAAAGATGCATTTTGGAGTGATTTGATAATGAATTGGAAGTGTAAGGGTGCTTATTATCAATTTTCAAACTCCCTAAGTTCATGATTTCTCATTCATCAGCGGAGTTTTCTTTAGATTCCCAAGCTATGTTCTTTTGAAGCAAATTCTTTTTCTCTCGTTTTTTGTTTTTGTTTTTGTTTTTTTTTTGCTTCAATTTCCCTTTTTATTTTTCGTGCCTCCTTTTCGAAATTTCAAATAATCTCCTATTTGAATTGAGGAATGACATCTTTCTAGATTGGAAGAAGTTTGAGAAGATGTAGACTTTGCCTTATGTTGAAAGGATGACGAGAGTTCAAAGTCTAGTAGGCCTCCTTATTATAAGGGCACACGATTCTTGTACTTTAGAATGTACTTCTTTCTCAAAAATCTTTGCATACTATGTGTCTTCCATTTCTAATGAGTGTATATGCTAAACTAAAAGATGCATGATATTTGTTTTCTGCCTAAATTTTTTCATTTTTTTTACTAAGGTTATGATGCATGATTTTTGCTATATATTTATTTTTTTTGTTGTTTTTTTTTAAATAAATTATCCTATATGATGCTTTGAGGTTTGGGTATATAGAAGGGAGTAAAATTTTTTATCATATTTTTTTTAATTAATATCTATTTGTTTATAATTCTTATCCATTTGAAATAAATAAACACAAAAAAATGCAACACACATATGCTCAAACAAATGTACACCCGCAAACAGTCACGTTTAAATCACTGGTCTGTGGTCCCTGCAAGAAAAGTGCATTGTATAGGACAATTCTGATCTCACTGGTCTTAAGGCCCCCAAGGTGCCCCCATTATAGGGACCCAGTATCTCTGTCTTCGTGACCTGACAAACTCTAAGGTCTGTCGCAGTATTTTGGGCTAGAGTAACCGGTTATCACCTTGAATGTAATTTCCGACAAGGCTCGCAAGCTTCAAGGCCAAACTTGGGTCGGTCGTACGTCAACTACTCCCTATGTTTATTACCCTCATGCCCCCGGGTGTAGGGGGAACTTTTGTGTACAAAGGATTGTGTACAATTTTGTTCAAACAGGTGCAGAATTTAAACAAACAAATAGATATTAAAGCCAAAAAAATAAAAAAAATAAAGTAAAGGAGAAAAATATTTAAATTATAATTCTTATTTTATTAACTTCATCATTTATATGGGCCTGACCCTCTTAAAACGTCCCTAGTGGAGTCGTCATCTGTCGTAACCCAAAAATTTCCGATCTTGCGACCTATGGTTTAAACATCCTTTTGAAAATCTCATCAATTAAGGAATGTCCGGACACCAGACTAATCCTTAATTAATGGTTTTAAAAATAGGTTCATGGAGTCGCCACCAATGTTTTACTCAAAACATTGGAAAAAGAAAAGATTTTTAAAAGTCCAATAATGGCCTTGATAACCAGAATTGGGTTCGGGGGTCGGTTATTCCTTTGAGGATTGATGACACGAGGGTGAAACAACTGAGAGGAAAGGAAATCCCTTTGGTTAAGGTCGTTTGGGGAGGAAATTTTGAAGAAAGTGCTACTTTGGAATTAGAAAGCAAAATGCGAGAAGCTTATCCATTTCTGTTTTCAGGTAAATTTCGGGGACGAAATTTCTAAAAGGAGGGGAGAATTGTAACACCCCAAATTTCTGGTTTTTTTTAGGCCCGAGAATGGGTTGTTCCAAAAAGCGGAAGGGGCTGTTACCAAAAAGCGAAACGGGCATTCCAAAAAGTGGAACGGCCCGTTCCAGGGTAATAAAATGGACTAAAATTATTAGTTGGAAATGGACCTTTCTAATTATGGTCAATGTGGGTTAAAATCAACCCCAGAACAGGGCGTGTTGGTTTAAGAACGGACCGTTCTGGTGTTGAGAACGGGCCGTTCCACTTATGAGCAATCTGTGTTAAAAGGAACCTAAGAACGGGCCGTTCTAATTTTAGAATGGACCGTTCTGGTTTTTAAAAACGGGTCATTCTGATTTTAGAACGGGCCGTTGCAATTGAAAATTTTGCATATAAACGAAGGGTCCAGAACGGGCCGTTCCAGATTCAGAACAGGCCGTTCCGGATTCAGAACGGGCCGTTCCGGGTACACCTGAATGCCTATAAATAGGAGGCTTGGGGTGAAAAAAAATTATAACTGACTGAGAAGGTAAAATCTTAGAGAGAGAGAGAGAGAGAAAGAAAAAGGGAATCTAGAGGAAGGGGGAGTGAGAAACCTCGCTCGGCGGTGTGGGAATAATTGTTGGATAGTCTAATTGTCGGATTGACTCCCAATCCCTTGCCTGTTGCATGTTTCTATGAACATGCAAAGTATTAATGTGTTCTATTTTATTTTCTGTTTGCTCTACTTTGTTCCTTGTTGAAAGTAATAATGAATACGTAATTAATGTTAAAACTAAATAAGTTTTAATATGAATAAGAATGCTCTCTATGAATTCTTGTGTGGACTTTATGAGGAACAATTATGACATGACCATGTGAAATATGCACAAATGACATGAGACATAAAAATGGACTATTGAGACAAGCTATGATTATAAGAATATGAAGAATGATGACATGTTGTACTAAATGAAATTTTGTAA